CTAAATATTTAGGTCACAACTTAAATATTTAGCTAGCTACCTAAATATTTAGGTCACAACTTAAATATTTAGCTAGCCACCGAAATATTTAACTTAAATATTTAGCTAAGACCCCCACCCTGTGATAACAGGGCAAATACTTTAATGCTAACCAACACTGGAGAGACGTTACTCATTCTGGGCTCTGAGAAAACTGTGAAAACATGGCTTTAAGGCAAAAAGCAAAGCCAACGTTTCCAACAGCTTGAGACAGGTAGTTTCTGTGGTACTGAGGCAGAACAAACAACACAGCGTTTAGAAGGCAGATGTTAGCTAAAAATGTCTTTTCTCTCTCGATGCTGTCATGACTTTCTGTCTCTATAGTGACACTCAACTACAGAAACCTTAAGAACACATTTTATTTTGACTAAAATACATCAAACCTGCTTCAGTCACTCAACACAGGAGACAGCAGACACTCTGTAAAATATAATAACTGTGTGCAGAGAACCTGCTGCCCTCAGGTCAAAGATACTGTCTGCTGCAGGTAACATACTGACAAGTGATAGTAACTGTGTTTCCATCAAGGCTTTTTGATGCGCATTTAGAAATGTCGCATTAAAAATGCAAAAAACAGTCGGATGGAAACAGCAAAATTTGAAAAAAAAATCCTCAATTCGCTAAAAAGATTTTACGCTCGCTTGAGGTGGTTTTTGGATGATTCGCAAAGTAGTTAATGCACAAAACTGGAGATGGAAACACGTTTGTTGAATAAAATCTGATGTAGCTCATATTTACCTCACGTGATGTTCAACTGTTTCCGCTTTCCTGCCTCGTCCCGGATGTTAGCCCTGCGTAGTTGCACGTGCCTTTCTGCTGTATAGTTTAACTTTACGTTTATTTCCCTACGTCTCCTGGCAGCGTTAAACATAGCCTGTACTAGCTGAATAGATAGAATAATTACAACTTGCCCAATGGCAAGGCATTCACGAAAAAATAGCTCCATTGTCCCGAGATGATTAGCCTCTGCTAGTTAGCAAGTTTCACTTCCTGTTTACTACCGCAAAGCTTGTCGCCAACGTCTGACGTAATCATGTGTTGCGTAGCCTCGTCTGACATAATCACGTGTTGCGTAGCCTTGTCTGACGTAATCACGCGTTGCGTAGCCTTGTCTGAAGTAATCACGCGTTGCGTAGCCTCGTTAGACATAATCACGCGTTGCGTAGCCTCGTCAGACATAATCACGCGTTGCGTAGCCTCGTCAGACATAATCACGCG